TTTTTTTTTTTTTGTAAATAGATACCTGATTGTTGCATGATCGGTATGGACTATGACTTTTGTTCCCACCATGTATGCCCGAAATTTCTCAAAGGCCCATACAACGGCCAATAACTCCTTTTCAGTGGTGGTTTAATTCAGTTGTGCATCATCAGGAGTCTTACTCGCATAGTAGATTGAATAAAATATCTTGTCCTTCCTCTAGCCTAGCACTGCCCTAATAGCGTGGTCACTGGCATCACACGTAAGTTCAAATGGTAAGGACCAATCTGGTGCTGCAATAATAGGGGCAGCCACCAACTGCTTTTTGAGCTCTTCAAATGCCTTCAGGCACGCGTCATCAAAATTAAAAAATACATCATTTTCAAGCAACCTGCACAAAGGGGTAGCAGTTTTTGAAAAATCCTTAATAAAGCGCTAATAGAATCCTGCGTGTCCCAAAAAACTCTGGACACCCTTCATAGAAATGGGTAGAGGTAATTTTTCAACCGCCTTCACATTCGCCTTATAAACTTCAATGCCACTCCTAGACACTCTGTGACCCAACACGATGCCTTCCTGCACCATAAAATGACATTTTTTCCAATTTAATACTAGATTTGTTTCTTCACAATGGGCTAACACCTTGCTCAGATTCTTCAAACAGTCATCATAAGAAGGTCCAAAGATTGAAAAATCATCCATAAAGACTTCCACAAATATTTCCACCATATCGGTGAAAATAGCCATCATGCATCTCTGGAAAGTGGCTGGTGCATTACAAAGACCAAACGGCATACGCTTGAAGGAGAAAATGCCATAAGGACAAGTAAAAGTGGTCTTCTCCTGATCCTCTAGGCATATGACAATCTGGTTGTACCCTGAATAACCATCAAGGAAGCAATAATATTTATGCCCCACTAATCTGTCTAATATTTGGTCAATGAATGGAAGTGGGAAGTGGTCCTTGCAGGTTGCTTTGTTGAGCCTTTGTAATCAATGCAAACTCTCCATCCCGTCATGGTGCAAGTAGGAATTAGCTCATTTTTCTCACTCTCAACCACAATCATCCCACCCTTTTTAGGCACACATTGCACAGGGCTTACCCAGTTGCTGTTAGAGATAGGAAAGATAATACCTGCATCGAGCCACTTAATTACTTTCTTCTTCACGACTTCTTTCATAATGGGATTTAATATCCTTTGCTTCTCAACATTGGGGCGGTGTCCATCTTCCAGAAAGATTTTATGCATGCAAGACGATGGACTGATTCCCTTGATGTCAGCAACTATCCACCCTAAAGCCTTTTTATGCTCGCGAAGTACTCTGAGCAATTTTTCTTCTTGTACATTAGTCAAGCTGGGTGAGATAATCACCGGCAATGTCTCAGAGTTCCCCAAATAAGCATAGGGCGGATGCGCTGGAAGTGGCTTAAGTTCTAGCTTTGGAGCTTCTTCAATAGATAGCTTAGGAGGGGTCAAAGTGACATGCCTGCCTAACTCCTTAAATCTCCCAAACCCATGGACATAACTGCAAGACATGTTAAGTACTTGCTCAATTTCTCCCATCATCTCATCTTTACTATCTTCTTCATCCCCAATCAAAGCTCATTTAAGAGGATCTATGTGGCTCATATAAGGCACCAATGACATAGCATCGCCTTCCACCACAAATATCATAGATATCTCTTCATAGTGGATTGGCAATATGAGTGCTTTATACACATTGAATACTTTCACTCGATCACCTACTCTTATCGTTATCTTTCCTTTGCATACATGAATAATAGCTCGGCCCGTGGCTAAGAATAGACTCCCAAAATAAGTAGGACTTCCTGATCAGGCTCGTAGTCCAAGATAATGAAATCAACAAGGAATATGAAAGAACCCACTTGAACTAACACATCTTCAATCACTTCTTCAGGATGATCAAGAGAGCGATCAGTCAACTGTAAGATTACCGTTGTTGGGCGTGGCTCACGCAAACCTAACTGTCTGAATACAGATAGTGGCATCAAATTGATGCTTGCTCCAAGATCACACAAAGCTCGCCCGACTGCGTGCTTACCAATCGATATTTGGATAGTGAAACTACCTGGATCCTTCTATTTCTGAGGTAGCTTGCTTTGGATTCCTGAGCTACATTCTTCAGTGAGTGCCACAGTCTCGAATTCAGTCAACCTTCTTTTATTTGCCACTATGTCCTTGATGTATTTTGCATATTTGGGCACTTCTTGCAGGATGTCTACCAGTGGAATATTGATTTGCACATGCTTCAAAATATCAAGAAACATTTTATACGGGGTATCATTCACTTTCTGCAATCTTTGAGGGAACGGAGGTGGTGGCCTCGCAACTAAAGGTGGGGGTTGCTTAGTCACTGCCTCTTCAGTTGGCTTCTCTGACTCCTTTGATTTTTCTGATTCTGACTCTATAGTAGCCGGTTTCTCATTAAAGGTCACTTATTTTATCTTTTTCGAATGAACTTCTTCTAACTGTATCCCATTCCTTAATGACACATCATTAATAGATGCCTTAGGATTAGCCTCAGTGTCGCTTGGAAGAGCTCTAACTGGTCGAGTATTTTAGGCACTGGCAAGTTGTCATATTTGTCGCTCCAAATTTCTCATTGTTGTTGCTTGGGCCTACTGGTTAGCCATTACTTTCTTCATTATCTCTGTTGTTTGGGCCTGCTAGTCAGCTATAAATTTCTTTATCATTTCCTCAAGGTGACTCGTCGAGTTTGCATGTTGTTCAGCCTGAGGTGGTCTATATTGTTGTTGAGGTGCTTGTGGCTTGTATTGATTTTGAGCACTTTGGTTTCCACCCCAAGAGAAGTTTGGGTGGTTCCTTCAGTTGGGATTGTAAGTATTCCCATAATGGCTTATCTTGCCCCTATTTGCATTACCCACAAAACAGACAGACTCTGGATTAATCGGGCATAAGCCGCTCGTATGATCCTCTCCACATACTTCACAAAACAATTGAACATGTTGCACTAGCTTGGCTTGTTGTTTGTTAATAACCAAGGTCATCTAATTGACTTGGTTGGTCAATGTGGAAATCTGCGCTGATAATACTGAGACGACATCTAACTCGAGAACCCCTGCATATTTTTGCACTGTGTGTCTGCCTATCTCTCCTTGCCAATCACGATTGCTTATGAAGAATTTGTTCAATAACGCATATATCTCATCAAAGCTTTTCTCCAACACTTGACCTCCAGCTGCATCATTGTAATGACCCGGCCGGTTGTTTTGAGTATATAACCACGTCCCCCCATTTACTGCTCAAGTTATGCTTTACAGTTATTATATGACTTACCGGGTTAGTTGGTTCGGATCCGGAAGGATTGCAGAGTGAAATGAGACACTTAGTCTCATAATTGAAAACTTAAGTTGAAAAAGTTGACCAGATGTTGACTTATGTGTAAACGACCTCGGATTTAAATTCTGATGATTCCAATAGATCCGTATGGTGATTTTGGATTTAGGAACGTGTCCGAAAAATTATTTGGAGGTCCGTAGTGGAACTAGGCTTGAAATGGCAAAAGTTGAATTTTTGGAAAGTTTGACGGGGGTTGACTTTTTGATATCGAAGTTGGAATCCTATTCTGGAAATTTGAATAGGTCTGTTATGTCATTTATGACTTGTGTGCAAAATTTGAGGTCAATCGGACGTGAATTGATAGGTTCCGGTGTCGTTTGTAGAAATTGGAAGTTTCAAAGTTCATTAGGCTTGAATTGGCGTACAATTCGTGGTTTTAGCGTTGTTTGATGTAATTTGAAGGCTCGACTAAGTTCGTAT